TAACTCAAAAAAAAAAAAAAAATCATATTTATATAAAATTCAATTGTTCAACAAAGCTCCAACACGTAGGAACAATTCTCAAAACAAACCACAAAATATTTCTTCATATTACATATTTCCAAATTCCAAGCTACTCGATTATACATGAAGAAAACATATATACAAACAACAAATCACTTCCAGTAACTTCGGTTTCAAGTTTACCGCCAAAACGTGACATTTCAGCTTTACAAAATTGCATCTACACATCCACAAAAACAGCCACTACTACACACACATATATATGTTTGATATAGTATATACACAAACCAGCCTAACCTTACTAGCTGCATGCTAACACTCACAGCTCACAGGTCACCCCTGAAAAACGGGCCCACGAAAAACGAGCTCGAGTAGGTCCCACCTCCATTGGGGAAGAGCGTGAGGAAGCAAATCAGAAATAGCACGAATCCCCATGCAAACCGGTCCTCCCCCAGAGGGGTAATTTCGTCCTTTGCTGGAATCTCCTCTCCTCCCCGGAAAAAAGTCGCAAAGAGGCCCCATGCAAGGCACAGTACACTCCCACTCAGGCCGCCAATTCCCAGCAGAAACGAGGTTGCAAACGAGAGTAGAGCTGCCGTGCTCCGGCCAAACATGGCCTGGGCAATTCGGCCACCCTCGAGCCTCCCGCACGGGAGCAAGTTTAGAGATGTCACGATCATGCCTGTCCCGAACAAAAAAAAAAAAGGTTTAAGGGTCTATGTTGTTTTGTCGACGTGAAAATTAGACCGAGCCTGACCAGATTATGTGGATAAAATGAATAATTTCAATGTGTTCCTCTGCTATAAGCTCTTCGAACTTGATTCATGCAAGACTCGTTTAAAGCTTGTTCTAACAACTCGACTAACAACCTTGATTTGCTGACCTGAAATTCAGACCGAGCCTGACCAGTTTCTACTTGAAACGAATAACTAAATGTGTTGCACTAAGTCTGTCGAACTTGATTCATTAAGACTCGCTTATCCTAACAAACTTTCCAAATTTGTAAGAAGTTCAAAGAGAGAAAATATACAAATTGGGCCTCATTTTATTCATAGAGGCGAAAAGGTCAAGAAAAGAAAATATGCAGATGTATAAGTGAAGGACCGATTCATTTCGACTACTTAAGTTGCAAGACGGGGCAAATAAAAATGAAATAAAAATAAAATTAACATGAGAGTTAAGTAGAGTTGACTCATGTTCTTCAATGCCAGAATGTATGGAAGGATATAGAGCAGATGGACAAATGCAAGCAAAGGTTTACATATTGGATGGAAATTTTTTATTTTCATGCAAACTGACCTAATAATCCAGCAAAAGCGAGAGGATCAACCGGAACTCCAACACCTTCAACTGCATAAGGCAAAACATTACCAAGATCGTCGGTATACGGCCCTATCACATATTGAATAAACGAAAGTAGGGGATTATTGTAAAAGAATTGAGGCCTTATGTACCTGCATGTAAAAGGTATAGCCACACAAGTGAGATAACTAATGTAAGAGTGTAGCAAAAAAATTACATTTTTTCGAACCGTAAGAATGAGAAAAAAACTTTCTTACAATGCATTGTCCCCTCCGTTAAAACTTCCGTCCGATACAAAAGCAGCAATTGTAAGGACCAATGATGTTAAGTATGCACTGGCTGTTCGGGCCACGGGTATATCAAACAGGGCCTTCTTATTGGGAAGTAAAGACTCGTAATTGTTTATGACACCAAGGCAGCCCGTCCAATTGGACGGGACAAGAAAAGATGGGCTGAGCTTGACTCCATAACGGGCCGCAGTTACTCTTGTTGCAATCTAGAACAACACAATTAAGACCAATGACTTATTAATCAGGATGAGTTGGTTAAACTAAAACAATGCATGAGATATATAGTAGTTGATTATCTGACAATTCAAGAACTTTTCGAACCCTCCAAAAGGAAAGGAAAAAGTACTTACAACGCAACCCCTTTTGAGGATTATTATAATCACAAATTCTACCATTAATTGGTATGTTTGTTAAGAAAATGAGGATCTCGTCAAACAGCTCAAGATAACTCGCATCAACAATTTTCAGATTTTAGTATTACTATCAAATAACTAAGCAGAGCGTGTTCATATATACCTCAGAAACTGCTAAAATGGTCAAGAAGCCACCAAACAAGGGCGCAACATCAGACAAGTAGTCATCAATAGTGGCATCAGGCTTGAGGAAAAAACCGCTTGTCAAAGCTATTGTCCCAAAAGTTGTGACACATAGTGCTACTGCACTAAAATAGCCCCAAGGAGTACTTAGTTTAGTGGACTCAAACTGGAGATCCATCTCGGCCTTGGGTTGCACTACACATGCCTAGAAAGAAAAACAGTCACATAGTTAAATGTCAAAGTTGGGAAAAAGGAGAATTAAATATCATTGGTTAGTGAAATTGCCAATAGTTTGATAACTGATCGAGGAAAAGAACGGTGTATAATTCAACCTTCTACTCAAGAAGAATGCTCCATTTGAGTAAAGGGTGATGCCCCGCAATCAAGAGTTAATTTTGTTATTCGGAAAGCATTCGTTCATTTTATTTTTTTTTCCTATTATCGAACATTTGATAGCCTATCTCAAACTCTTATCTTGATTCAACATAAAAATATTTAGCATCAATATAACCAACGAAATCCATTCTTCCGTAGTGTTTTAAAATACCTGTTTTGTGATATCATTAGTTTTCTCTTCCATAAACCACACCACAACCTCCCTTCCTGCAGCTTCCGATAGTTTCTTCTCCAATTTAGGTATTGCCTCGTCTATTGGCTTTCGCAAATTCCCGATAAAAATTCCACCATCTCCAAACCTCCTAACATCCGTCGCGAAAAATGTATCAAACCCAAAACAACTCTTCAACTGCAAACAAACAACCACAGGGGAAATTTTACTCAAAACCAAATTATTCAAAGTGTCACTAGAAAATACATCTGCAGACAAACCAAGTAAATATTCAGAGGAAAAAAAAAATGGATTTCAGTTCTTTGATCACCTAAAAACGAATAGAAGCGAGATATAAGGTGGTCCCACCTTGTTGAGATCAAGAGCCTTGAAAGCTTCCTCTGCCTTCTCCAGCCTCTCCCTCTCTCTAAACAAACTATTGCTAACCAAATTGTTAAAGAACCCAACCAAAGGATTATCATTTCTCTCTCTAACCAGCTGCTTGAGTTTCCTATCAGCTCTTTTTTTCTCAAGCTTTATAGCAGCCTCAATAGAAGGATTACCCATGAAATTCTTGAACTCCTTATCACTTTTCCAATCCATTTCTTGCATCTTTTCTCTCGCACCCACATCGGATTCACAAACCTTAGATTCATTCTCAGAGCTATTGCTCTCACCATTTGCGGTATCAATAACCCTATTATCATTCACATCATCTTTTGGGTCTGTAGTAGCCAGAGAAGAAGAAGATGAGGGCTCGTTTGTATTCTCGGCTTTCGCATAAAGACTCGATCTTTTTCGAGAAAATTTAGGTTTTGGGCCAAAGGGGTGTCTGTAAAAGGAAGAATAAGAGGATATGGGTGATAAATGAAGTGGGTTCTTATCAAGAGCCCGTGAAGAAGAAGAAGAAGAGAATGGTACTGAAGCGAAAATTGCAGACGCCATTTGAGCGTAGATGAGAAGTTGCTTGAGCTTGAGTTGTATTGAGCATACATGTTGTCGCGTGGCTTTTTTAGACGAGAGCAAAAAATTGGCTGGAAAGTTGGAGGAGTTTCTCGAGTGTGTGTATGTGTAGTGTACAGATGATTTTGGCGCCAGTGTTGATGTAGAAGATGAAAAATCTGCCAAGCTTGGAAAAGTTTTCAAAAATTGTGTGGACAGTGTAATGGAGAAAATTTGTGTGGTCGTGGATTTATGTGGATAGGGATTGGAATAAAATAAAACATTTTATTTTTTTGTTAGCCAAAGAGCGAAATGTCACGGTCCCGTTACGGAACCATCTCGTCGGGAGTTTTAACCGTTGGATACACATGTAGTTAGTATAAGATAAATGATCTAACGGTTAAAGCTCTTGACGGGATGGTTCGTAACGGGATCGTAACATTTCCCAAGATTCATTTTATTAATTATTTACAACTAACTCCTCAAATTCCCTTTTTTTTCTTTTCATCTTTATCCTCTTCGACAACCCACCATTTTTTCTCACGAAGAAACTTTTCCCCGAAGACAGCGTTTTCTGAAATCACATCCAAACCCTAACTACTGTAATTTCTCAATAAATTCACAGTTTCATCTCCTTCTACCTATCGCCCTCTCGCAGTGATCGGATTTCCCAACGAGATGAAGCTCAGGCTGAGATCGTTCGAATCCAAAGAAACCCTAAAAATGGAAGTCCCAAACTCGTGCACGCTTTCGCAACTCAAGCAAACCCTTGCTCAAGCCCTCCCCAATTCGCCGGCCTTCGATTCAATTCGACTGTCTCTCAATCGGAAAGACGATCTTGTATCCGACGACGACAATTCCCTCCGATCCCTCGGCATCGCCGCCGGCGACCTTATTTATTTCTCCCTCGAACAGCCGGCGGCGGGTATGAGCTCGAATCCCCAGAGTTTCCATCCCCTGCTTACCGGCTCAATGAGCTCGAATACCCAAAATGCCCTTCCTGAGGTCGAGAATTCCGATTTTACCATCTCCGGAGCGGATTCGAAAATGAAAGAAAATGTAGATTGTGGTTCGCAAATGGAGGTAGATATGGGCATGGAAGTTGATGAGGATGATGGTTGTGAAGATGATTATGAAACTGATGGGTTTGCTGTGGATGAAGTTGTTGATAAGTCGTTTTCTGTGCCGGGTTTCTTGAGGAAGGTTTTCATGGAAGAATTAGGCGATGATGCCGGAAAAGATCACAAATTGATCATCATCGCCATTCATGCTGTTATGATGGAGACTGGTTTTGTAGGTTATGGTTTTCATTTTCGTGGTAACGAATGGCCGTCAAGTCTGTTTAGGGTGTCCTTACATTACACTCTGCAAGAAAATCCAAACCTTAGCCCCGCAAAAGTTGCCAAAAGCATTGTGTTGAAATTTCAGAGCTTGGGAAAATTCATCAATGTTTATGGTACGCTAGAAAAGTGCTCGGGAAAATCCAACAGAGGCACGTATCGGGTTCAGTTGAATGAGGAAAAACTGGTTCCATTTCTGAACGTCGTTTGGGCGAATATTAGTGGAGAGGACGTTGGTAAAATGGACCCATCCCCCGAAAAAGAGGTGTTCGAATTTTGGAGGAACGTGAAGGATAACCTAGCCTTACCTTTGTTGATTGATTTGTGTGACGAGTTAGGTCTGCAACTCCCTCCGTGTTTTATGCAGCTTCCAACTGATCTCAAGTTGAAAATCTTGGAATCTTTGCCGGGTGTCGATATAGCTAAAATCAGCTGCGTTTGTTCGGAAATGAGATATCTTGGATCGAATGACGATTTGTGGAAGTTGAAATTTGTGGAGGTTTTCGGGGATGAAGTGAAAGAGGCGCAAGGGAGTTGGAAAAAGACCTTTGCTAGGTTTTGGGCCGGCCAGAAAAGTAGGAAGGTTGGTAGAGCAAGAATGACGCCGTTTTGGCCCGAGCCGTATTGGGCTCAACCCAGGAGGAGAAGGTACCCTAACCCTTTTATGGTTGCTCGGGCTCCGAGAATCATTGGGGGCGATTACGACATATCACCCTCATTCGAGTTGGGCCACAGTGGTGGTAGGGTATTTGGTGCTGTAAATCGCCGGTCTTCGAATTTTTCACCACAATGTGATTTAGGGGTTCGAGGTGATAGGTTTGTGTGAAGATGGTTTTGTTATGTTTTGCTTTATAAATCGATGATAGTGGGGGAATTATGTATAATTTGGCCTGTATTATGTCCGTAGTTGAGTTTTTCTGTTTGGTGTCTTTGTGTTTGTAGTTTGGTTGGCATATATTTTTATAGTTGTGTGAAACTTTATGTTCTTCACTTTTTCTGCTTTGTATTTTTTTTATTACAAATGAGCAGAAAAAAGAATACTTAAATGTAATCTTCTTCTCTATTAGCAGTTAACTAATCACGTGCAGACTTTTTTTTTTTAATCTTGAGCTGATTGTTAATGTTTGTGCCTGCTTAATCTTGATAAGCGGTTTTGAACTGGTTTCTACTGAACTATTATGAAGAATGCATGAATTTTCCAGAGTGTTCACATTAGGAAAACAGCAATAAAGAAGTAACACCAAAAACAAAAAGAAAAAAAAAAAAAACGATTCGAAGAAAATTCGTAATACGAGATATTTTGGTCCTTAAAACGGAACAGAATCTCTGATCAAAACAATGGAAATGATGCTACTATACAAGAAATGCTTCTTCGCCCTTTCAATTCAACAGTGGCGCTGTTTTGTATATTCTATCTTCTTCCAGAAGTTCATAAGGGTCGATGTACTGGGGCGGGGCAACTGGTGTTTTACTCCCGTCATGAACAAATTCAGGTCCAAAATACTGCACATGGAAAACAAAATTTTGTGAGTACATCAGGACAATTTTAAAGGTAAAAAATAGTTGCACAACTGGGAATAAAGATATCGAAGGTAGATGGGGAAAATCAAGTCAGATGAGATGGCCATAAAGTAAAGAGAGCAATTTCATAATTAACAAAAGAAAACAAAAGTTCAAGCAAAGAAGATTACCAGATACAAAGCAGAGAAAAATGCAACGGTCAAAAGAATCAATGGCCAAAACGCCAGGAAAAATGTTCCTCCAAGAGTAAGCAGAAGTTTGGCCCGTGGAACGAGCCCCTGTAATACATGAGATATTCACAATTGATCCCTTCAAGATTTTAACACTCTAGAATTCTGCACAACACCTTTAATGTAAGCATGAAAGCATGCAATGAATATATAAATAACAGGTCCATAAGTCACAGTCAAGTAAAATAACTACCGTGCAAATTTTCTATAATCTGATCTACGGGTCTCCAAGCTAATTAGGAACTGAGAATCTTCTCACCTCAAGACCTTCGCTATTGAGGGCCATTGACTTTTCCCTTTGACCAGATAGTCTTTCTTCCCCATCATTTGAGACCCCATTTCTTCTTGAGTAACTCCAACCTCCATCTTCTTCTCTGAACTTTATCTCCTCATTTTTCTCCGAGCTTCTAGTTTTCTCCTCAAGCAAAGAAGTTGGTGTCATTCCTCGTCTCCTTAATTCTTTCATGAATAAAGACTCGGGAGGTTCTTCACCTGACATTATTTCGCCATGAAGTTTTCGAACATTTTACTAAATCAGCATCTGATGAATTGGGAAAGATAATAATAAATAAATAAAAAATTGTTCAAAAATAAATATGGCAGACGACACATGTGCTCATGCAAGGAGATTGTGGTAATCCACTGCCCACAAAAAAATAAATAAAAAAAAAGGTGAAAAGGGGAGAGATGGATTTTAACTTCACAAAATCTAAGCCACGAATCCGATTAAGCAAGCAGCAAAAATCCGTGGGAAAAAAAATTGCCACTTGTGGCTTTAATATCCCATTTCATTGTATGCACTTGCACAACTTAGTAGGTTTGTAAAGGAAATTTTAATGTCGAACTTCAAATGCCTTCTCTAAAACAGCAATACTAGTTAATTTTTTATTGTTTAGGAAGTCCACTTGGTTGAAAAGTTCCTAACCAGCAGCAATATCATGGAACTTGGTTTTACTAAAATTACTAATTGTATAAAAATCTAATATCCACCAGGCAAGCTTCCTGCAAAGAACGAACAAGGATTTAAATCAAGACACTGATTCAATAAGGCCACAGACACACGATGTATTTCATGAATAAGCAATCGACCCCTATTTTCATGGTATGTTTATTGGTTGATTTGACCTTTTATGCATTTTGTTGCAACATTTCTGATGATTCTGGCCATAATCTGAAGCTACTTCCACAGGCAAGGCATCCTTTTACCCCAAAGACAGTTATCCACGAGATACAACGATAATAAGGTAAACACACATGATAATTTCCGTTTTCTTCAGAATCTCTCATACACTATACCAAGAAGATTACACTCTTCAAGGAGATGACCACAGAGACTTCACTATATGTTTATGTAATGTTATCGCAGTGGAGAAGAATATCATGGTTAGGACTTAGGAGAACTATTATCGAACTTAGTTAAGATGTTAGTCTTGCATACTCCTACTTTATACCTCACAACTTTGTCTCTCAATTTCATTATTGGCTCATTCATTCTCCTATCAACATAAACAAGTATCTATTCACCAACCTCACTCACCTTTTGTTTAATAGTCGTGGTGTGATTCATCATCACCACTGCAAGTTTCTTAAATCCGAAAATAATTTTTCACATATAAGTCCTACTAATTCAAACAGCTCTGAACATGCCCCAAAACGGCACGCCCGATCAAACATGAAACATCTCCTTCATAACACACATATAAATAATAGGGTTCAAATGGGCATCACAATCTTTCCTCATTAAAATGGCGAGCAAGGAACTCTTTCACATCCTCTTACTAGAATCTGATTCAATAGATCTGGACACTAAAGCTCTTGAATACTCAATCCCACAATTACAGATCATTATCAAGGCCTTAAAGAAACTGTAATATTGATCCGATCGAATCTTCACCCCTCATTTTCCTCCAAAATTCACACATAAAAACATCAGCAGATGGATTGAATCAAGCGAAGAACAAAAAATCATTAATCATCATCAGTGAAGTATAAGAATCCGACAAACGCACCAGCTTACCTTTGCTTTGCTTATCACGCTCATCAGCTTTACAGGAAATCCGAAACCTCGAATTCTGAACTCTGGCTGTCCTATACAGCGACGCCATGGAACTGAAGCTCGAGCACCGACATCTGAAGTTCATCTGAGAATTCGAGGGAGCCGATTTCAGCAGCTGGAGGCACGCCATTACGAGCTTCCGATTTTCAGGAACAAAAAAATAAAATTATATCAATTTCGAATCTCAAAATTTTCAGTAATTTTCAGAATTAGCTGATTGAGTGGAGGCGTAGATGTGTGCGAGACCAAGAATGTGTGGGGAGTAGTCAAAAGCTCGCGGCGCATTTTAGGATTGACGATCTCTTTCCGGCTATTTTGCGCGGGGTTTGTGGCGGCTTTTTTGTGGCTACGATGTGCAGGGTGACGTGGCAGTACATCCTATATAAATCTTGATGGTTGACGTCATATTTTTTTAAAATAAAAATATATATAACATTATACTTTATTTAAGCTGTTTTTTAAAGTAGGATATTTTTAGGGAAATGCTACAGTCTCGTTACGGTACCATTACATGGAATGTTTTAACCGTCGAATTATCTATCTTATCTAACTATGATCTAACAGTTAAAACACTCGATGGGATAGTATTGTAATGAGACATTAGCAATTTTCTACTTTTTATGCTATTGATTCATGCCATGATTGATACATGATATTGTTATCTTATCAATCTTACATAATTATTGGTATACTTTTTTTTTAAAAAAAAAAAAAAAAAATTGACCATCCTAATGAGAATGACCAAACTCATCTCCACAAAACTCATCTACCTAGGATTAGTCATGCAATAGATAATGGAAGATGTTCTCATTTCCATATTTGTTTGAATAAGTTTTTCAAAAATAAAATTATCAAATAATAATAATAAAAAAATATTTCGTATATACTACAAATCATGATTAAATTGTATTAAATAAAATTAGTAAAAATAAATAAAATTCAAATAAAATTTTGTAAACTTATTTTTATTTATTGTTCATATTTTAATTAAATATATTAAATACTTGTACAACAACAACAAGCCGTTAAAATTCCAGGGTCGGCTATATGGATCATATGTAGCCATCGTGCTCGATCAAAACACATATCCTCATTAAAATTTAAACATTTTAAATCATTTTTTATTGTTTTCTTCAAGTTTTCTTAAGTCTACCCCTCTCCCTTTTAATTTGTGTTCTTAATATAAATATATTTTTTTTCTATGAAATAGTGATTAATGTAAGATAAGATGAGAATGTCATTCACTTCAGGTTTTATTCCTCCTACATATTTAATCAATAGAAAAACTTGTTCATTCATTTCTCCTATTTCATTATACTCTTCAACTCATTCTATTACGATCAAATCCCATTTCATTATACCAATCATGCCATTAAAATTTTGGGTGACACTTAAACATTGTTGAGATTTGATACTTTATGAAATTTTCATAGCATAGAGTCTATGAAATCTTATGTCCGGTGAGATTTAGATTGAGATTTCGTAATTTACTTCTTTTGAAATCTAAACAAAATTGAAAAGTTTTAACAAATCTCAATACCAAGTAAGTTAAACACCTCAAGATTATTTATGACTTATTAAAATCTTAAACAAATACCTTGAGATTTTTAAAAGTTTTAAAGTCTAAATTAAATACACTAATATTTCTAAAATCATAAAAATTAAGTATGAATTTTTGGTATAATCAAGTCCTGTTACTAATATAAGATATCTGTTACAAATATTTATATTGAGCATGCACATACGAGGAAATGCTAAGGTCCCGTTACGGAATCATTCCGTCGGGACTTGTAACCGTTAGATCATCATGTAACCGTCAGAGATTGTTGATCTAACGGTTACAAACCCCAACGGGATGGTTCCGTAACGGGACCATAGCATCTTCCGCACATATATCAGCAGCCATACACAACTGAATAAAACTACCAAAAAAATACAATTAACTGATAAGAAAAACTATTGCATTAATGACTTTGAATGTTAATTGTCTTATGATCCAAAAATAAAACATCCCAACAAAAGAAAAATAAAAATAACAATAAAATAAACAAATAAGCAAAAACTTGCATTGCACGGCCAACAACAAAACATTCAAAACTCTAGAAACAGAACCATTCGAATGAGTTCTAATTAATTAGATCCAATCGAATGCCATCTCAGCATCTTCAGACAATCAAATCCCCCCCACCACCGGCTGTGAAAATGAAGACCAGCCGGAAACCCTGTTGACCCGGTATCCGGCAGCCCCAAACATCCACCCAGTCACCGGCCTTTGCCTCGTTAGCCTCAACCATCTTGAACCATTCAGTCTTTATGGCCGTCATGCCCAAGCTTCTCCAAATCGTTATCCCCAGTTTGTACTCTCTTCCCGCCTTATCCAGTCCGGTGAATTCAATCCCGGCGGGCCCTTCCTCATCCGGCCAGATGGCCCGCTTTTCTTCCTCCGTCATAAATCCCTCTTTCATCTTCTCTGTCCCCTTCGCAGTCACGAACAGCCGGTTCATATTCTCCCTCACGTCCGACTTCTCCAGCTTCTTCTTGAACAAGAAAACAAGGCCCGGCCCGGTTTTCTGCAAAAGCTCCGGTGGGAGTTGCGGCGCATACGGCCCATCCTCGTTGTGCCCTTTTTTGCTCCTTTTCCGACCCGATTCGTCTTTTGACCCGCTGGGACCCGGGCGGTCTTCCGTCTTCCTCTTGGCCGGGGGTTTCTTTTCGCTGGAGTCTTGGGAGGACGGCGACGGCGGAGGCGCGTGGATGATAACAACGCCGCGGTCTGGGTAGATAGCGCGGAGGGGAGTCGGGCTGAGGACTTCTTCTTGGGTGGCGGGCCCCAGCGTGAGAAAGGTGGAACTGTCGACTTCTCGGGCGAACCGGGCCAGACTATTGGGGCTGATCCTCCGGCGACGGGGGCGGCGTTGGCGGTCTGGGGGCGTGTTGGAGAGGCGGAGCGTGGTGTCGACGTCCATGTCCATCGCTGCTTTCTTGATCGAAATTAACGGAATAATATTGTTTCTTGAATTAGTATGAAAGTCGATTATGGTAATGAATAGTGGGTTTGGAATTGTAAAGTAGGGCTTATATATATATAGAATTCTGTATATGTGACCTTTTCCTTGTATTATTTGGAGTAATTATTTTATTTCCTAATATAATACAAAGTGAAGTATTTTTTTCCTGATAAATTTAGGATTAAGAAAATTTTATTTGGAGCACGTGTTCCCTAATATACAATCACAATTAATTAAATTTAATTTAACTAATTTCTGTTTATTATTAAATAATAGTTGTACTCGATTACTGCGGCGAACTGTAAATGTTGAATTTGAACCGAAGTAGTGGAGGAGAGGAAGGAGCTTATGCGGGCTCATGCACGCAATGGGCTCAATTGTTATAGTTTGCCCGATTTAATCAACAACATATCACTGCGGGCCGTTTAATTAAAAGAGACAATCGGTGGGACTAAGTTGGCCCGATTAATGTGAGCGTGGACTAAGTTAGGAACATTTTAAGATCAGTTTTCGTATGACAGTGGAAAAATATACTTAAAATGTGAGACAAAACGACGTCGTCTTAGTGTGAGGTGGAAAAAAAAAAAATTGGCTGGTAAATACAACTCACTAGGTGTGGTGACTAGGGTTGTAAACGAATCGAATCAAAGCGAATACCCAGAGATTCGATTCGATTCGTTTAAAATATTCGAATATTCGATTCGTGATTCGATTCGATAACGAATTCATTTTTTGATTCGTATTCGATTCGTTTAGAATATTCGAACATATTCGATTCGATTCGAAATTTGTTTTCAAAAAAATATTATAATTAAAAAATATTATAATTACAAAAATAAATTTTATTTTTCATATATTTTTAGAAAATTTTGTCAATTTATGATGTTTTTACTTTTTATGTCATAAAAATATTAGGAATATAACAATATATATATATACATATATTATAAACAAAATGTATATTATATATAATTTGTATAAAAATATTATAATTACAAAAATAAATTTTATTTTTTCATATATTTTTAGAAAAATTTGTTAATTTATGATGTTTTTACTTTTTATGTCATAAAAATATTAGGAATATAACAATATATATATATATATACATATATTATAAACAAAATGTATATTATGTATAATTTGTAAAATTTATATAATTATTGTTAACGAATCGAATATTCGAATTTCGAATCGAATATCTACACGTTCGAATTCGAATTCGTTATAATTTCGAATCTAAAACATCATTCGAATTCGAATTCGAATTCGAATATTTCGAATTCGAATCACGAATATCGAATTCGAATCAGGAATCGAATCAAAAATATTTGATTTGTTTACAACCCTAGTGGTGACATTTTGAATGTCACATCAGTTTTTTTAAGGTTGGTGATCAAAACTGTGTATCGCTTTGCAAAAAAATTGAAGAACGTGATATAGTATGCACAAGTGAAAAGATTGTGATTAATTTGCAATCTCGATACAAGTCATGATATTAGGAGCAATTTTGCCTTTATTTTAAATAGGTTGACTTCATATTTTTTTAAAATAAAAAAATATATAACCTTATACTTTATTTACACTCTTATTTAAAGTAGGATACGTTTTATACTATTGATTTATACCATGAGTGATACAATTTTAAATAGGTTGACTTCATATTTTCTAAAATAAAAAATATATAACATTATACTTTATTTACAATATTATTTAAAGTAGGATACTTTTTATACTATTGATTTATACCATGATTGATACGAGAGATGACACGAGAATAAAATAATCATTCTCCTACCAATTTCTTATCAATCCAATTATTGGTATACTTTTTTAAATGAATGACCATTTTAATGAAAATGACAGAAATCTCCACAACTCATCTAAATAGGATTAGTCATTCAATAGATAATGGAAAGTGTTCTCATTTCCAATTTGTAGGAATCAATATTTCAAACAAAGAAAAAATAACACAGATGGTTCTTTTTTGGCTTCATCCAGAATGGCGTCCGCTGGGGTTTTGGTTCGAGATGTCGGCGGTCGTTGGCTTGGGGGTTTTTTGATGAATATTGGATTATGTTCCATTACAGGAGCGGAGTTATGAGGACTCATCCAATGGTTGTTGCTCGCCTGGGTTTGGAATGTCGTAAGGCTACCGTGGAAGTGGACAACATGAGTGTGGTGACTATGGCAGCAGGAGGCCTAACGGACAACCTTGGAGTGCATGGTAGATTGGTTTGTGCCATATGTGACTTACTTCACCGTGACTGGGAGGTGAGGGTGACTCATTGCTATAGAGACGCCAACTTTGTTGTTAACTGCTTGGCGACTCTTGCTCACAGCTGTCCTGGCGGTTACCAACGGTTATTTGACCCACCATCTGTAGCTCTATCGTGGTTACAACACGACCTTATTGGCGTGTCTTACCCACGGAGCGTACCTACTTGATGGTTCTAGACTTTTGTCTCATTCTTTGTACAAAAAAAAAATATTTCAAACAATAAAATTAACAAATAATAAAAACAAAATTTTCATATATACTCCAAATGATGATTAAATTATATTAAATAAAATTAGTTAAACAAAATTTAAAAAAAAAAATTAAACTTATTTTATTTATTATTCGTATTTTAATTAAATATATTAAATAATTATACAACAACAATAACAAGCCGTTAAAATTTCAGAGTCGGCTATATGGATCGCATGTCGCCATCGTGTTCGATCAAAACACATATCCTCATTCATAGTTAAATATTTTAATCATTTCTTATTGTTTCGTTCCAAGTGTTCTTAGGTCTACCTCTCTCCCTTTTAATTTGTGTTCTTAATATAACTATTAATTTTTTTTTCTATACAATAGTGATAAATGATAATATAGAATGATAATGTCATTCAATTAAGATTTTATTCCTTTTGCATACCAAACACAGAAAACTTGTTTTATTCATTTCCTCAATTCATTTCACTCTTCATACTATTCTATTCCGATCAAATTCCATTTTATTATACCAATCATGCCATTAAAACTTTGAGTGACACTTAAACATTGTTGAGATTTGATACATTCGGAAATTTTCATATCTTCGAGTCTACGAAATCTTATACCCGGTGAGATTTAGATTGAGACTTCGTATATGTTTATTTATTGTGAAATCTAAACAAATTTTAAAAAGTTTTAACAAATCTTAAGATTGAATAAGTTAAATACCTTAAGATTAATTATTTATGACTTATTAAAATCGTAAATGGATACCTTGAGCTTTATAAAAATTTTAAGAAGTCTAAATCAAATGCACCAATATTTATTTTGAAAAATAATATAAACTAAAGTATGACACTTTCAAAAAATAAGTATGAATTTTTGGTATAAATTAAATGATAACGGGCTACCTGACACAAAATTTTGTACCGTAGAAAATGTGTGATTGACTAACCATTAGTCCTACATGTAGGTCCTGACATTTAAGAATCCGCTGTACTTCAATTTCATCTGAAAAATGAAAAAAAACAAATAAATAAATAAAAAATCCCATGAAAGCATGAAGATCCATGTCTCGAATCTGAATTTTTTTAATACAAAATATATTAAATCTGCTAAATGCACACAATGGCTGAACCATAGACAAACAGGAAAAAGAATGAAAGACCAAAACAAAATGTCTTAATTTAGTATAAAGCCACTAATATGAGATATCTGTTACAAATTAATTTTTATAAGGAGATTCTAAAGTCTCATTTATAGAATCATTCCGTCGGGGTTTGTAACCGTTAGATTAATTAATTATCCACGGCGGTTACATGATGATCTAACGGTTACAAGTCCCGACGGACGGTAACAATTTCCATATTTATATTGAGCATGCACATATATCAGCAGCCATACACAACTAAATAAAACTACCAAAAAATACAATTAACTGATCGATAAGAAAACTTTTGCATTAATGACTTTGAACCTTAAGATCCAAAAATAAAACATCCCAACAAAAGAAAATAAAATAAAAATAAAATAAACAAAGCAAAACTTGCATTGCATGGCCAACAACAAAACATTCAAAACTCAAAAAACAGAACCCATAAACAAAACACACAGACACCAAAATTAGATCCAATCGAATGCCATCTCATCATCTTCAGACAATCAAATCTCCCCCACCACCGGCGGTGAAAATGAAGACCAGCCGGAAACCCTGTTGACCCGGTGTCCGGCAGCCCCAAACGTCCACCCAATCACCTGCCTTTGCCTCGTTAGCCTCAACCATCTTGACCCATTCAGTCTTTATGGCGGTCATGCCCAAGCTTCTCCAAATCGTTATCCCCAGTTTGTGCTCTCTTCCCGCCTTATCCAGTCCGGTGAATTCAATCCCGGCGGGCCCTTCCTCATCCGGCCAGATGGCCCGCTTTTCTTCCTCCGTCATAAATCCCTCTTTCATCTTCTTTGTCCCCTTCGCAGTCACGAACAGCCGGTTCATATTCTCCCTCACGTCCGACTTCTCCAGCTTCTTCTTGAACAAGAAAACAAGGCCCGGCCCGGTTTTCTCCAAAAGCTCCGGCGGGAGTTG